TTGAGTTAGGAGATTCAAATGTGTTTATCTCCATAATTGTTTCAGATAGTCTACACCATGGGTTTTCAGTGCTCTCCATGCTACCTGAAGACACTGAGTTGGAGAGCCTGCTCCAGATACCAACAAACCCATTAAAGAAATTCATCCTTTCAATTCTGTTCCTCTAGAACCACTCCTGGTACTACAATCTGTATTAATCAGGGTTCTCCAAAGAAACAGAACCAGTAGAATGAATATATATGTATAGAGATTTATCAGGTTAGCTCACAGGATAGAGTCCGAGTGGTCCAACAATGGCTGTACCACACTGGAGAGGCTGAGAATCCGTAGTCGCTCAGTCCACAAGGCTGGATGTCTCAGTAGTCCCAATCTGGCGCTGAAGGTCTGACGAATTCCTAAAGATCAGCTAGTCTTCAGTCTACAGCAACAGAACGAACTCACCAATGAGAGAGAAGGCAAGCAGCAAGAAGCCAAGCGTTCCCTCTGCCATGGCCTTTTATATGGGCTGTCATCAGAAGGTAACACCCACATTTAGGGTGTGTCTTCTAGCTTCAGATGATCCGGACAAGAAGATCTCTCTCATTTCAGTTAATCCCAGATCCAGTCAAGTTGACACCCAGGATTAGCCATCACAGTCTCTGAGCTCTGGGTGGGTGGACCTCAATATAGGAGTCCTGTGCAAGGACCTACACTTTGCTGACTCTTATTCTCTGCATTTTGACCATTTGTGACCTACTGTGTTCCTGGCCCTCTGTTGCATGAGGGAGCTTCATTGATGAGAATTGAGAACTGCTTTAATGTTCTGTTTACCTTTTGTTCTATGTTTCATGAGCCTTAGGCAGTTTAGTTTTTCAATCTCTCTTCTAAGTGATAAAACAAGGACATAATACTTTATATTTGTCATATATGTCCTGCCCATGGAAATTTTACCTTATCAGTTATAAATGCTGTATACATGATACAGTTTTGTTTGCTTTGAATGACAACCAAAAATCTCTATTATGTTTATTATTATTTTGGGGGGTGTATGTACATGTTTGTGTGTATGCAGGTGTATGCAGACCTATGTGCATGTGTGTAGAAGCCAGAGGTCAACCTCAGATGAGGCTCTCTGGTTAGCAAGTCTTAGAGGTCTGTCTGTTTCTACCTGATTTGGCTTTCTCTTCAATTCCAAGGATAACAAATGGGAACCAGGGTCTGGAGAGATGGCTCAGCGGTTAAGAGCACTGACTGCTCTTGCAGAGGACCCGGTTCCAATTCCCAGCACCCACATGGCAGCTAAGAACCGTCCTTAACTCCAGTTCCAGTGGAATCTGACGCCCTCTTATGACCTCCGTGGCATTGCGTGACAGGGGTCCACTCACATACATGCAGGCAATACACTCATACACATAAGATAAAAATAATAACGAAATATTTTAAAAAAACAACCCAAATGGGGACCGCTTTTACATCGGTTCTGGGGCTCACTCAAGCCCTCATGTTTTACCAGCTGACTATCTCCCAGACCCCTATTTATTTATTTATTTATTTATTTATTGGTCTTTTTGAGACAGGGCCTTCCTGTAGCCCTGATTGGCCTAAAACTCTTTATGTAGACCAGGCTGGCCTCAATCTCATAGAGATCTGCCTGTCTCTGCCTCCCGAGTGCTCGGATTAAAGGCGTGTGGCCACCATGGCTGGCGCAGACCCCTATTTTTATTCTTCTTAGTAGTAGGATGTTTTCTCTGCCTTTCTCTTTTGGAACATAGATTCTGGTTTCAGCCTTTATACCTGTGCCTTTTCTATATTAAGGTAGATTGTTGAAAGTGCTTTTGTAGTTACTCTGATGGACAACTAATAAAAATATGAGCAACAGGGGTGTGACTCAGTAGTAGAACAGTTGCTTAGCATGTACAGTCCTAGGTTCCATCCTAAGCACCATTCAAAAAAAAGTTAGGCCCGGCGTAGTGGTACACGCCTTTAATCCCAGCAGAAGCAGGTGGATTTCTGTGCATTCAAGGCCAGCCTGGTCTACATAGTGAGTTCCAGGCCAACTGGGGCTACAGGATGACCCCAAAACAAACAAAAAGCTAACAAAAAGCTGTTAGGCTGAGCAGATAGATGGCTTGTAGGTAAAAGCACTTGCTGTTCAAGCTTCATGGCCTGAATTTAATCCCTGGAACCCACATAAAAGTTGGATGTGATGGCTTGCATCTGTAATCCCAGCAATCCTACAGCAAGAGGGGAGACTGAGACAGGAGAATCTACTGAAGCTCCTGGGCCAGTTAGCCAGCCTGGAGTTTGCAACACAACGGAAACAAGAGACACCCTGCCTCAACAAGGTGGAAGGAAGAGAACTGACTAGCAAGAGTCCTCTGACCTCCACATGCACACTGTGGCGTACACTGCCCACACTTAAACCAAGTGTGTATATACATTAATAAATGTTTCAGTAGCCTTTTTCTAGGTGTTGAGAATTGAACTCAGACCCTCACACATGCTGGGCAAGTGCTGTACTACTGAGTTACATTCCCAGCCTATTAATAGGCTTGGTTTATCTTATTAGAATAAAAGCAAGCCCTTTAATTTTTGATTTCTAGCTTAAAGTTTTTAGATATGGTGCCTGTAGCAATACAGAAACACTAAGTGAAAAAAAAAACACTGAGAGAAAAAAAATTTAAACCAGTAACAAATTTTGCCTTCTGAGACTTATAACCAAGAAAAAATTGAGCACTTTACCCTGTATCTGTTCAAATAAGTTCTGAGTCCTTGGAACTTACTGTTCTGTTATTTTCTTAGTCAGAAAATTTAATAAAATGAACTTTTGTCTGTGACTAGTTGTGTCTACCTAGAATTTGAAGGATTTGACTTTCAGTACATACTACAACTGAAAATTAGATTTTTCTAATTTGGTTGTGAATTAGGAAGACAAGTGATTTAAATCTCATCAAGTTACAATTCAATCAATTTACACATCAAAGACAAAAGCAGGCTGGGTGCTTTTTCTGCTTCTGTTTTCTCCTGAAGCATCTTAAATGTCACACAATGCCAAAATCAAGGTCATTTGACATTTTTCTTAAGGACTTACACTCCTAAGACTCCTAGTTATGGGGCTAGAGAGATGACTCAGCGGTTAAGAGCGTTGACTGTTCTTGGAGAGGACCCGGGTTCAATTCCCAGCACCCACATGGTGGCTGACAACCATCTATGACAAACATACATGCAGGCAATACACTCATACACATAAAATAAAAAAAAGAATTCCAGTTATTCCCACACTAGCTTTTATTTATTTTTTATTTTTATTTTTGGTCTTTTTGAGACAGGGTCTCCTTATAACTTCAGCTGGCCTGGAACTTGCTATGTAGACCAGACTGGCCCTGAACTCACAGAGATCCGCCTGCCTCTGCTTCCCAAGTGCTGGGACTAAAGGTGTCTGCCATCATGCCCAGCTCCCACAGTAAGTTTGGATTTCATTGTGTGTACATACTCATCTATAAGTGCATGTGTACCTGTGTACGTATGCACTTGGAGGCCAGAGATCAACATCAGTTGTCTTCCAATCGTATCTCTACCTTGTTTTTTTCTGAGAGAGGTCTTTCATTGGCCCGTGGCTCACCAGCTAGGCTAGACTGGCTGGCCTGCAGGCTCCAGGAATCTTCCTGTCTCTGCCTTCCCAGCCATGGGATTATAAACTCATTACTGCTACACCTGGCTTTTTACCTGGATGCTAGAACTAAATTCAGGTCCCCATGCTTGCATGGGAAGCTCTATAGTTTTTCTGTGTCCCTTTTCTTCTAAAGAAAGTTGTTAATGATAAGGTTTTGTTAGGGTTCTTCAGAAGTAGGAGTGATGTGTACATGTTTTCTTTCTTGACTAAAAGCCAGACCTGTCATTGAGTTCTTCTGGAAGGCTGATTTTAAAATTTTGTTTTTAGATAGCTTCAATATGGTTATTTGGATCTTTTTGGGAAAAATAGTTGAAAACAGTACCCTTTTAGAATTGAATAAAATATTCAGGCCTTTCAAGCTTGTCTACCATTGCCATTTTAAGACAACAGAAAAAGCTCAGTTTTTAGACATGCTTGTTCTAATCTAGTTGAAATATTTAGTAGCATTTCTTTTTAGCATCATAAGGTATCATTATACCTTAAAAAGAACTTAGTATTGATCCTTGGCTAAAGACTCTTACAGTAAACGCTTAGCTATATTTATTAACAATGTTAGTTTGGTTCTTTTGACTATAACCTTACTGTACCCTTTTTGACTTTAGTTTATTTTACTTATGTTTGGGCTAGGTATTATATGAACTTCCCACCAACACACAGTGGTGCTTTGATATCCAGTGGTGTCCCCGAAATCCTGCTGTCCTGTCAGCTGCTTCCTTTGATGGACGGATCAGTGTTTATTCTATCATGGGAGGGAGCACAGATGGTTTAAGGCAGAAACAAGTTGACAAGGTAGGAAGTATTAAGGCTTTTGGTTATTATATCCTTAAAAAATCATATCGTGTAATTAATTTTAAAGTTACTTTACTGATCAACAGTGGTGACTTACTGGATAATTGTGATTATACATTTTTTGGATATGATTTTAAAAACTAACATAGTTCGTATACCTTACTGATTCACACTTTTTTTTAAACTAGCTTTCATCATCTTTTGGGAATCTTGATCCTTTTGGCACAGGACAGCCCCTCCCTCCATTACAAATCCCACAACAGACTGCTCAGCACAGTATAGTGCTACCTCTGAAGAAACCACCCAAGTGGATCCGGAGACCTGTCGGTGCTTCCTTCTCAGTAGGTGCATTTCGTTTATATGATTCAAAGAAACAAACTTTCCGTAGTAAAGTGATTTTTATAGGATTATTGAAATGGAATAAAGTTTAGTTTGACCTGTATTTATAGGCTGTCATTTGATTTTTGTTGTTGTTATTTTTCAAGGAAAAGTAGAGACTACTGCCTTAAAAAAAAAATACGGTGATATCTATATATAACACAAAATTTATCCTGACCACATTTAAATGTGCAGTTGGAAGCTGGTGTGTTAGTGTAAACTTACAATCCCAGCTACTTTGGAATCTCAGGCAATAAGGTCCCAAGTTCAAGACTAGCTTGGACAGGTTAGAGAAATCCTGTTTCAAAATAAATAGTTTATTTACATTAAGTGAATTCATATTTTATGTAGTTATCTCTACCCTCAGCCTTTTCTTCCCTTTTCAGAAACTTCTCTTTCTCTTCTTTTGGCTGTTAGGGAATGTGGAGGTTGTGTATCTTATCTCCTTTTCTTCCTTTTAAATGGCTAGCTTTTTTACTGTAAAAAGTAGCATACAATCTGCCATCTTAACTGTTTAAGTGTACAATATTATTATCTATATACACATTGTTGTACAATAGATCTCTAGATCCTTTGCATCTTACTGTTAAGGCCTGTTCTTTGCTGCATGCTGGCATTTTGTTGCTGGTTCTCCATAGAGAACAAATGCTTCATCCTCATATGATAGAAGGTAAAAGGGCTGAAGTGCCTAAGGGCCTAGCTAGTCTGCCTCATCTCCCCCTCCCCCAATTTTATATAATTTCTTTTATTCCATTCACCAGGGGTCTGTTCTTTGACTCAATCATCTTGTAAAGGCCCCATCTCTAATATTGAGATTTAGCTTTCAACATCTAAATTTTGTAAGGGATATATAATTTCAAAACAGCATCTAAGCTGAGTGTGGTTGTTTATGGCTATATTCAGGGGGAAGATTGCCAAAAATTTAAGGCTGGCCTGGGCTACATAGTGAATTCTAGGTCAGTCTGGGCCATAGGTAATGAGACTGTCAGCAAAACAAAACAGAATAACCCACCGAAACAAAAACAAACAAACAAAAAAAAACCCACATAATACCTTCTATTCCTATTTTGTTGACTGTTTCTATCTTGAAAAAATACTGAATTTTTTAGATACCTTTACTCCTTCAAGTGATGGGATCATGTTTTTTATCCTTTATTTGTTAATGTAGTATATTATGTTGATTGATTTTCATATGTTGAACCATTGTTACATTATAGAAGTAAGTTTCATTTGGCTGTGGTATATAATCCTTTTACTGTACTGTTGAATTCAGTGTGCTGTTGTTTTGTTGTGGCTTTTTTCAGGCTTGTTCCATCATCAGGGCTATTAGGCTATAACTGTCTTAAGGCCTTTTTGTTTGCCTTTACTATAAGAGTAATGCTGGCCTCATAAAATGAACTTGGTGGAAATGTTCCTTCTTTTCCTAGTTTTTGAAAGTAAGAATTGGTGCTAATTATTTGTTATGTGCTGATAAAATTCTCCAGGGAAAACTTGCCCTTAGCTTTTCTTTTGCATCATCAGGGCTATTAGGCTATAACTGTCTTAAGGCCTTTTTGTTTGCCTTTACTATAAGAGTAATGCTGGCCTCATAAAATGAACTTGGTGGAAATGTTCCTTCTTTTCCTAGTTTTTGAAAGTAAGAATTGGTGCTAATTATTTGTTATGTGCTGATAAAATTCTCCAGGGAAAACTTGCCCTTAGCTTTTCTTTTGGGGAAGTTACAGATGACTGCTTTAATCTCTTTATTAGGTAGAAGTCTGTTCATATTTTTACTGTGAGTTTTTATTTTTAATATTACTATTTTTTTTTTAGAAGAAGCATATCATTACAGCTTTAACATGCCCAATAACAGTTTCCAGAGCAATGACGTAGCTCCTTCAAAAGTGGCTATAGTATTTCTAGGTTCGCTGTTGAATCAATACAGTTATACAATATTGAACTCAGTATAAGCCCTGTAAGACATAAAATTGAATGAGTTTTTAACCCT